GAAACATTGCTTTAATTTTATTCATACTCACCGATGTTATCTCCACGTTCGTAAACCTCGAAGTCAAAATCTTGCGGTCGTGAGGCAAGCAGGCGAGCAGCACTCAACCCTGACGGCCCAGCTCCAATCCCAGCCACTCGTAATGGTGCCATACTAGATTTTCAACGTATAATATATAATATTTTATACGTGTATTGCTCAAAATAATACAGGCTTGAACTTAATTAGGGCATATAAGTTTGTTATTATGTGCAATGATAATGTGATTACGCCGTTGTCTATGCCTCTTATAGTCAGGTTACAGGAGTGTCAAAGTCTCAAACTTGGCACAGTTGTAGTTTATGACAGTACTATAATTATTAGAGGGGGTGCCCAATGCAGATATTCCTTAGAAGGGAATTACAGATAATTTAATGTTTGAACCACCCGACTCCGAACCCCCCTACCGCGCCCGCCTGTACTGTGTGTACTGGCGCATTGTACCATATAAACAAAAGAATAGTAATATAATAATAGAAATAGATAGACATGTTGTCTATCTATTTCTATGCATTGTACAGCTGGTACATGTATTGGCATTGTATACAGGCGGGCGCGGTAGGAGGGTTCGGAGTCGGGTGGTTCAAACATTAAATTATCTGTAATTCCCTTCTAAGGAATATCTGCATTGGGCACCCCCTCTAATAATTATAGTGCTGTCATAAACTACAACTGTGCCAAGTTTGAGACTTTTGACACTCCTGTAACGATTCGGCCCATATTTTGCACTAAGGGACCTAACTATAAGAGGCATAGACAACGGCGTAATCACATGATCATTGCACATAATAACAAACTTATATGCCCTAATTAAGTTCAAGCATGTATTATTTTGAGCAATACACGTATAAAATATTATATATTATACGTTGAACATCTAGTATGGCACCATTACGAGTGGCTGTGATTGGAGCCGGGCCGTCAGGGTTGAGTGCTGCTCGCCTGCTTGCCTCACGACCGCAAGATTTCGACTTCGAGGTTTACGAACGTGGAGATAACATCGGTGAGCATGAATAAAATTAAGGCAATGTTTAGCCTAGTTGCGTTTACTACAGAATAAGCATGATGTGGCGGCATACTTCTAACTGCGCTACGTAACGTAGAGCGTGACGTATACGTGAACGAAATGCATATATGCAATAATTATGGTATACGTATGCCATATCAGCACATATCGAATCGAAGTTATTGTGGGTGGGTATCCGATTCCTTTCCCATCTTTTATAAAGAAGATAGGAAGTTCAATTGACATTCCCCCCCCCATCCTCCACGCGGCACATCGGGATGCTTACACGCAGGTTGATCATTAGTACAGTAGTTTTAATTGCGCCTGCCTTAATTAGGAGGTACGTGGGTGTACACGGAGAGGACAGGGCTGACTGAAGATGGCTTCCCAGTACACTCAAGTATTTACAAGAACCTTACAAGAACATGTATCCAGGTAGGTGATACGATGTAAAATGACATGCAAGCTATAGTTAATACACTTACTCCTCTTCTGCGCTTCACTGCACTATAGGTGGCACGTGGATGTACTCAGAGAAGACAGGCCTAACTGAAAATGGCTACCCAGTACACTCGAGTATTTACAAGAACCTTATCACCAACCTACCTACGGATGTGATGGAATTCCCTGACTTTCCCTTCCCTTCGGATTCGAAGAAATTTATGCATTGGAAAGAGGTGTGTATTGTTGGGTTCTAGTTAAAAATATTAGCGGACTTGACAACAATAACAGTGTAATTTATATAGAACCTAATGCAATGTAAACGTTATCTTCAGATTTATATTAAAACCTAGATTTCGTAATACTTTGCGTAGGTTCGAGACTACATTTTTGCCTACGCCGACCAGTTCAACCTTCGAAAAGACATCCAACTAAATACAGATGTAAAGTCTGTAAAACGCATCACCACAAAGCCTGTCCCATCGGAAGCTGCCCACCAATCTCCCAACAGACCACAGTGGTTGGTGCGCACGACTGCCCTTCAGGGAGGAGGCAGCAAGGAGAAGGTGTTTGATGCTGTACTAGTCTGCTCTGGACACTATAGTGTCCCTCACTATCCAGACATTCCTGGTCAGGAGAGCTTCAACGGGGTACATCTGCACAGCCACGATTACCGCCATCCTGAACCTTATGCCGGTGCGCTACCTAAATTAGTATAGCTCATACGGTCTATGTCTCCCTGGGTACTGCCGGAACGTACCCTGGTAACTATTTGATATGGTTAGGGTTAGGGTTAGGGAGTAGGCGTAGGCGACTCCCTAGACTCGTTAGTGGAGTAGGCGAGGTACGGTGCGGCATATTAGAAATTACCAGGGTACGTTCCTGTATACCGGGCCGTACCCAGGGTACGTTCCGGCAGTACCCTAGGAGACATAGACCCGACGAGTATTAGTATATATACCGGTTATTTTGTTATACATACTGGATACACCTAATATATAGTTAAGCATACAATATTATACGGGAATATTAAGCTGAAACAAAACCTACTTCGTATCTTGCTGTAGTTACATTATATCAGAATGTCACGCTGCACCGTCTACCGTTAAAGTTTTATAAGACATCTATTTCTACAGGCAAGCGAGTACTCCTGATGGGAGCATTTCAATCTGCATTTGACATCATGAAAGATCTCTACCCTCACGCATCCGAGGTGATCATATCACTCAGCGAACTAGACGGTCTATGCCTGGGTGAGCTGTACAAGAAAGGGCTGCTACCACACAACGTGAGAACAACGACATTCCCGCAGGCGATCAACGGTAGCGTGGTGACGTTCACCGACGGTGACACGCTCGAACCAGACGTGATTATTTTCTGCACCGGCTACGAGTATTCGTTCCCATTTCTCGACGCCTCGTGCGATGTCACTGTTAGCGAGGGTAAACGCATACAACCATTATTCAAGCATATGATCCACAGCAGGTACCACACGCTCATGTTTATCGGCATGCCGTTTACCGGCCTCGAATTCCCACTCGCGTACCTCCAGGTTCCGATTGCGCTTATGATCCTTGATGGGTCACTGGCGCTCCCTAGCGAGCAAGATATTAACAAGGAGACAGAAGCGGACTACCGCGATCGGTTAGCTAGTGGACAGAAACCCCGCCACGCCCACAAGTACGCATTCCCTCCCCGTTGGTCGTATACGGTTTACTGCGATGAGATTGCCACATTTGCAAAGATCGATAACGTCATGCAGCCAAAGTACCGCTCGTTTGAAGTTGTCATCGCTGCAATGTTAAAAAATATGATGACATATAGAGACTACAGCGTCTCTGACTCCCATTTAGAGTGTCACCACAGTCCATGAGGCATAACCTCCAGAGTGTGCGCAACTCTAGCTGCACGTGAAACATTAGATTAGGGAATGTTTGCATATAGATAGTAGATCGATATCCAGATATCGAGCTAGGCTTCTCTGGGCCAGGCACTCATCACTGAGTGTGACTAGCATACGACAATGGGTTGTTGAGAGCTATTGTAGTTGTCCAGCCGGAGATGTGTTCGGCTTCCTCGAGGTGGCTCAACAGTGATATTGCCTGACTTAATGTTTTGTCACAGAGACCCAAGATACATCTACGTTCATTGACATTACAAGTCACTTAACGTGTATTCGATACGATAGCCTATAATTTAGAGCAGTTGTACTAATATACACACATGTAAAATTGTTTGGAATCAATATAAATATAACAGGTAGTTGATATCAGCCATAAATTGAATCATATAGCCGCATTGAATGGCATGAAAATGTTCACATCGCGAGATTGATACTGAGTATTAATATTATAACTATTCTTCTGAAACACAAATGAAGCTTTCTGCCACTGTAATCTTATCTACAACTCCGTGGATATTTTTTGTATAAATCGCACGCTTCTGTTATGAATGTTTTGTCATTTGCGGGCTTGTTATTGAACATTCCTATCTTTATAAAACCAAAATACACTTTAACTAGTACTATCAGAAATCGGTTGTTATTCTCCTCTATCCTTCGCATGTATCACAATACAATAATTATACAAGAGCGCTTGACGAATAATATATTTTCCTGCTGTAGTTCCTCCATTTTTATGTAGCAGTAGATATGGATGCTGATAAAGTAACGCTGATCTCATACGTAACAATACACGTCTTCAGCTTGTACTGTCGCTAGCCGATCACAGCCGGTGAACGAGAGAATGATAGATTTAGAAGAATTATGTCGGTTTTTAGAACGTTTTGTGAATCGTACAGGGACCGCGTGAAGTCTTTCCGCGGCGCCTATAGAGTACTGCTAACAAAGATAATGATTATGAATATTTGTATGCATATCAAAAGTCAAATTTTAGTTCATCTGACAGGGGCGGGGGGATGGGGGTATATCCCCCCACACTTATTGAGGTGGGGTGGATTTCATCCCCCTTACTTTCAGGAAGAAAATGGGGAAAAATTTAATATTTTGCAGGCAATAAACACTGGATATTTATAAATCCGTCATCGCTATTCATACTCTCCTAATGTATTATTACAGAAATGGAACGTGACATACATCTACTGTAAAATGGCTGTAACTCGTTCCAAGAATGACATTATTTTACTGAAACTCAGACGGTAAATTATGGACGCATATTCGCCATACACGATTTGTTTTCAAAATCCCCAAATCACGTCTTATCACTGCTCCTTGCTTTATTCAAAATTCGAATAGACCTATTGAGAGTTGGGATATTTAATTTTCACGGGGATTGAATGGGAAAATTTAATTTCATCTCACTTCTTTGGGGGAAGGGGGTGCTGAGACCCGACCGGAAGTATATTCCCGATTTTGTATAAGGGGTGAAAATATGCACTTTTTGGTTCAAATCTGGTTGTTTTTCTCATATTTTTTTGCAGTTTTGACGTTCTCAGAACAATATATTTTTAATCAAAATCAGGGGCAGATGATTCCAGTGCTGTAGTTGTCAACGGGGGGTCGGTAGCACGGGGCGGTTGCCCCCCCTAGAATTTTCAGGGCAAAGGTATTTTAGCCTAGGTAAGTCTGCACTGGTAACCCCAGCGAGGACATGTACATAGCACAAATTTGGTAGTAAGTATTTTAGTCTTTTGTGTCCCCAAAAGTAAAAATACTCAACTCACCAGTGATGTTATTGTGATGAAGATTGTTTAATAGTGCTGCCTCATCGTGCAGGAAATTGCATCGAAGAGGTGTTACTTTCAACAAAATTTCCGTAGGGGTGGTCCCCCGGACCCCCCTCCCCCTAAACAGGAGGGGGGAACCCTGAAGGAGGAAAAATCCTGATATTCTATGATAAAATGTCCAAAATTGATTGCTTTTAGATTGCAACTTTTTAACAATTCCACACAGTGGGAGGGGGACACCCCACCCCCCGGGCGCTTCGTGCCTTTGAGCTCGCATGATTCGCCCCCTCTATAATTCACTTCTGGATCCGCCACTGGTTGTGTGTGTGTGGGGAGGGGGGTTGCGTGTTATTAAACCTCTGGGATCCAAAGAAAAAAATTACCNAACGCATACAACCATTATTCAAGCACATGATCCACAGCAGGTACCACACGCTCATGTTTATCGCCATGGTTGATTTACCTCTTGAGTTCGGACTCGCGTACCTTCAAGTTCCGATAGCTCAGAAAATTATTGATGGGTCACTGGCGCTCCCTAGCGAGCAAGAAATAAACAAGGAGACAGAAGCAGACTACCACGATCGGTTAGCTAGCGGACAGAAACCTCACCACGCACACAGGTTCGTATTTACTCCCCGTTGGGCTCCGAGTTCATACTGCGATGACATTGCTAATTTTGCAAACGTTGAGAACGTCATAGAATCAAAATATCGATTCATTAACGCTGCCTTTGATGAAATGCGTGAACATATTATGAAGTATACTACCTCAACCCTGAACCGGAGCAGTAATGTCAACTACATGGGTTGGGTACGCAAGGTTTTAAAATGCGTGACCTTGTTACTCCGCCAATGGGTTGGCAGGAGGTTATGTTTTCACCGGCGTGTGTTTGTTGGTTTGTGGGTTTGTTTGTGTACATCCTAACTGAAAAAGTTATGGACGGATTGTCATATTTTCAGGATAGGTTAGAAATGGGCTAACTTAGAATTGCTGAGATTTTGGTGGTGATCCGGATCCAATTAATTAATTAATTAATTAATAACATTTTCAGGATAGGTCACAAATGGGGTAACTTAGAATTGATTACATTTTGGTGGTGATCCGGATCCAATTAATTAAATTTTCAGGATAGGTCTGAAATGGAGTAACTTAGAATTGATTACATTTTGGTGGTGATCCGGATCCAATTAATTAATTAATTAATTAATTAAGTTTTCAGGATACGTCAGAAATCGGGTAACTTAGAATTGATTACATTTTGGTCGTCATCCGAATCCAATTAATTATTTAATTAATTAATAAAAAATTTTACAGTCACAGAATTCAGCTGTCTTGGCGGAGGTCTGTGCTCTCCGAGTGCTCTAGTTATACATGCGGCTGTACTATACGCGTATAGCGCAGAATAGAGGAAATAAATGTGCATAAAATATACGTTTACAATATACATCGTTGGAAAATAAGTATTATATAATAGTGTCAGAAACACAAATGTTGCTTTATTAACTCCTGATAATGTATAT